ACTTCTTTGCAATATCCAGCATCATGTAAGTTGAATTCCAACGAGTCTCACAGTCAAGAATAAGCTTCTTACCGATTTTCATTTTCATTTGATTAGCTGTTTGCTGGAACTTCTCCCACCTTTTTGGCGTTCCCAACCAAAAGTGGACGCTTTTTCGAATTTTTTCAATGGCCCCTCCAATAACTTTCAGCCCTTCTCTCACAATCAAGTTAAGGATATGTGCTGAACATCGAACATGAATCATCATACCTCCAAGTAAAAGAGACTCCACTGGAAGTTTCTCCGACAATAGGGAGATCATTGCATCGTTGGTGGAGCAATTATCAACTGTTATGGCAGATAATTTGGTGTCGATATTCCACTCCGTCAAACAATTAAATAACTCTTCGCACAATACATCGCTGGTATGTGGTGCTGGCACGTAAATGAACCTGCATAAGTTTTAGAATTAAGTAAAATAATCAGTTTGACCAGTTTTCTAAAGTTTCACAGTAGGTATGAAGTTTAACTAATAGTTTTATAATTTTTCATGGCATGTATAAAGTTTCACAGCAACTAATAACTCTTAACTAATAACTAATGAACTCACAGCAAACCATAATATAGTACCTAATGACTCGACTTTGTAGCTTCCAATCATTGTCAATGTAATGAGCTGTGATGACCATGAATCCCTTCTTTTGAGAACTTGACGTCCACATATCAGTTGTAACAGCCACACGACCTTCATTACTGTCCACAAGTTGCATAGCGGCATCTCTTTCAAGATCATAAATGTTGATGCAGTCTTTCCTGATGGTGTTTCTACAGACCATCTTGAATAATGGATTCAAACTTGTAACAAAGCTCCTAAAGCCTTCATGATCAACCATAGACAGCGAATACTCGTGTTTTATAATAGCCTTTGCAAGCTCGTTGCGAGAGTTCTGCTGATCAAAATTGAATGGGGAGAGTTGGAATTTCTCCTTGCTGAAATTGCCTTGTAAGAGTTGTTGTCTTATATCCACTGTAACCTTGCGTTTGGGACATCTTTCATAATGCTTCTTAAGATGGCTTGTCCCTTGCTTCGGATCTCCAAGAACTAACCGATTGCAATATTTGCATTGAGCCTTCTTTTTCTTGTTAACTTCTACTTTGGTGAAATGAGCCCACCATTTAGAAAACACTTTTCCTTCATTACCACCTTTGGCATCAGTGCCCTGCTCACCACCACCATTGTTGTTGACTCCATTTCCAGGCTCATTTTGAACCTGAGTGTCAACTGCAACAGGTGTGTCTTCTGGTGCAGCATTGGAGTTGGGGCAAGGTTGAATGGGAGAAGCATCATTTGCATTATGATTCAAGACACAGTTTTCTTGATCCATTGATGGAAAAGCCTACATAAGAACAATATAGTATAAGAACATTGCAGCAACAAGCCAACAACCATTCAATAGAATAAAAAAGAGCTGAAAGAAAGAAGCAAAGAAACCGTATATAAAAGAGAAATCCTAAAATACAGGGCAAGCAAGCAGATAGCTTAAGCATCCATATACCTATTATAATATATTGATTCTTTCACGTTGATAAAAGGGCAAACAAGCTATCAAAGCCACAAAGAAATTTTCACGTAAATCTAGTGGTCAATCTAAAGGAAGAAGTAACCCCATTGGACTAAGAACAATTCAACAAAAGATTCTAGAAGAAGTCTGCAACTTTCCAGCAAAATCCATCAATTTTATTTTGTTGGGAACAGTTCTGCATCTGGGTTAAAAGACAGAAGTTAGGCACCACAGTATGCACCACCAGCTAGTTGAATTTTGGCGAAGAGAGCTAGAGCTGCCTGCAATGGAGTCGATTATTACCTTGGATGAATCGACCAATAGTTGAATCGATCGATTGCTTGATTTGGTGGCAGCAGGAGGAGGTGTTGATTGATGATGGTCGCTGGATCATTCGGTTTGGAGCTATGGAGAAAAAGAGATGGAGAACTAAAAGATTCATCTTCCGTTCCTCTATTTAACCCTAATAAATCTCTCTTGTCTTGGAATTGAAAGTTAGATTGATGGAGAACAGAAGACGAGGAGACGGGATGAATTGCGATTTCTGAAATGGGAGAGGCCAGCGTGGGGGTGAGAAGTCGAGGAGACGGCTGGGGGTACTGAGGAGTAGGGAGACGAGACTCTGATGGTGAACGGAGGATTCAGGTCCTATCTGAAAGATGCGGGGCGGGGCGGGGACAGGTCGGGCTGACCACGATACCCATGCCTGACCTGGCCTGCAGCAGGTCGGGGCAAGACCCGCCCCGTTCAACAACGGGTCGGGTAGGACCTGGCCCAAAACGGGATGGGCCGGGCCAAACCCGTCGGGCCGGGCCAGTTTTGCCATTCCTACCTAGGAGAGCTAGATTGAACTCATGTAAGCTTCTGAGCCCTAATCCTCCCTTCTCCTTAGGTTTGCATAGCTCCTTCCATCCCACCCAGTGTGTTTTGTTCTTCTCATTCTGCTGCCCCCACCAAAAGTTCGAAATCAAGCTCTGAATTTCATTAATGACTGTGATAGGAACCAGGAAGACCTGCATAGCATAATTCATTTGGGCTTGAGCCACAGCCTTAATGAGTACTTCTTTCCCCCCATAAGATAGTAATCGGCTTTTCCATAGCTTAACTTTCTTTCTTACACGATCAACCAAGTAGCTGAACACAGCCTTCTTCTGTCTGCCCACTACAGTTGGTAGTCCAAGGTATTTTGAGTGGTAATCCACCATTTTCATTCCCATAATTGCTCCAAGTTCCTGCCTCTTATCCTCTTTAACATTTGGAGTGAACGAGAGCTCAGATTTGACTAGGTTAATCTGTTGTCCCATTTCTTGTTCATAGAGGTTTAGGATGGTTCTGATTTGCTCACACTCTTCCTTGGTAAACTTAGAGAATAAAATGCTATCATCCGCGAATAACAAGTGATTGATCACTGGTGCTCCACCCTTGACTTTAATTCCTTCTATCTTCTTGTCTCTATCCGCTTTTGTCAATAGTGCTGAAAGTCCTTCTGCGACAAAGAGGAACAGATAGGGTGAGATGGGGTCACCCTGTCTGATTCCTCTGGTAGGGAAGAAAGTTTCCGTTTGGTGACCATTAACTAGGATCGAGTAGGACACAGTAGTGACACAGTGCATAATCATTGCCACCCATCTCTCATGAAAGCCCAATTTCTTCATTACTGCCTCTAAGAAATTCCATTCTACCCTGTCGTAAGCTTTGGAAATATCAAGCTTGGCTGACATAAAACCTTTTTTTCCTCTTATTCTTCCTTTCATCGAGTGAAAACACTCGAATGCCACCATCACATTATCTGTAATCAATCGGCCAGGGACAAAAGCACTTTGGAATTCCGAGATCACTTCATTTAGAACCCCTTTTAGCCTGTTCGCCAGTACCTTAGAAAGGATCTTGTAGAGGACTCTACATAAGCTTATAGGCCTGAAGTCCACAGGGGATTCCACCACTTTCTTCTTAGGTATTAGGGCAATTAGTGTGTGGTTGAGAGCTTGAGGAAAGCAACCATCCGAGAGATACTTCTGCAGCTCAGCTGTTACTTCCTTTCCTACCACATCCCAGTTTTTCTGAAAGAATAAAGCTGTTAAGCCATCCACCCCTGGAGCTTTATTAGGTCCCATCTTCTTCAAAGCTCCCCAAATTTCCTCCTGCGTGAAAGGTTGTAAGAGTTCCTCATTCATCTCCTGAGTGACTCTTCTTGGGATAGCCTCCAAGATCCTGTTTGATGGGGTTACATTACCTGCACAGAAAAGCAGTTTAAAATGGTTAGTTAGGCAATCTTCTATCTCCTTCTGCCCTTCTTTCACCACTCCATCTGCCTCCATCATCTTTTTGATAGTGTTCCTGTTCCTTCTATCAGAAGCTTTACGGTGAAAGAAATTTGTGCTCTTATCACCACCCTTCAGCCAGTCAACTCGTGATCTCTGCTTCCACTTAAGCTCTTCCTGCCTCATAATATCATTTAGTTCTTTTTCTATGGCTTTCCTTTGAATAAACACTGCTCCATTTGTTCTCTGCCTGCTCAACTTATCTAGAGCTTGCTCTGCCTTCAGTCTTTGATATCTCAGGTCTCCAAAAGTTTGCTTACTCCAAGTTAGGAGCTTCCTTTCACAGTTACTGATTCTATCCAAAATTGATAAATTATGGCCTTCTCCCCATCCATCAGCTACTACCTGTTTACACTCAATTTGGTGTTGCCAAAATGGTTCAAATCTGAACTGCCACCGCCATTTGACTTCTTGTGTTACCAATTTTGTTTGTAAAAAGATAGGATTATGGTCAGAGCCACATCTTCTCAAATGATAGACCCTGGCATGGGGATAGAGTTCTTGCCATGTTGCTGTAGCCACCCTCCTGTCCAGTCTTTCCTCTAAGAAGGTGTCATCAGTGTGATTGTTATCCCAGGTAAAAGTTTTCCCGTAGTAGCCTAAATCCTCTAGCTCACAGTCCTCTAGTGTGTCATTGAACATATCCATCTCTTGCACATTGGCCAAATTAAGACCATTCTTTTCCTCATACCCCTGGATCAGATTAAAATCCCCACAGACTAACCCTGGAATGTCTGTCATTTAGTACCACTCTTTTGTATGAGAGCTAAATTGAGAAAGATCCTTACTCATTATTTCTTTGTATTTATTTTTTTCTCTTGCCTCCCTAACCCTCTCATGTTCTTTCCTAATGACTGACAATCTTGCGTATTGAGCTCCAATTCGAGCCTCAAATGTCGACCATACTTGATAATTATCGACAACAGAATCTTCCAAAATTTTACTCAAAGCTCGTACAAACCTTTATTCTCAAACTTCTTCCACTTTGGATTGCGAGTGGGTGCCTAAAACATTATGACATTTGTTTTTAAAGAAAAAAGTTAGGGTTAATTGCATGGTTGGTCACTGGATTATAAAAAACGTTCAAGTTTGGTCACTCGAAATATTTAAATTCATTGGTGGTACTTTAGTTTACTAAAACTGTTCACGTTTGGTCACTCTCCGTCCAATTCCTTAACTTTTGCTTACGTGGCAGTCAACTCTAAAAGTTGACCGTTAAATGTGTGACGTGACAATTTAAAAATAATAAATTTTTTAAAATTTAATTTTTTAAAATTTCCATCTCATTTCTAACTATTAAAAATAAAACAAAAAACTAATGAAGACTGAATCGCTCTTCTCTGCTTAATTTCCAGCTCTCCTTTCCTCCATCGGACGGAGGTTTTCTGCTTAATTTCATGTCAAAATGAAATGTCTTTGATTCGTTACCATGATCCAATCACCCAGAACCCCTCCAAAAAAACAGAAGTAACCAGTACATCTAAACGAACCTAATATACTTCCTCTGCTAACTTTCAATTCACAATATTAAACTTAATGAAAATAGAGCATCTACTCGTTGGCGGCAGAAGTGGAGCGACCCTTGGCGACGGCTCTCTTGGGAAAAAGCATGTTGTGGATGTTGGGCATCACGCCGCCGTTAGCGATGGTGACGGATCCAAGCAGCTTGCTCAACTCCTCGTCGTTCCTCACCGCCAACTGCACGTGTCTCGGGACGACTCTCGTCTTCATGTTGTCTCTCGCCACGTTTCCAGCCAATTCCAAAACCTCGAGAGAGAGAGAGAGAAAAAAATCGCCGAAGCAACGACGGTTAGGTTCTAGATCTGAGATTGCTTAGCGATTCGAATTGAGAAGAGGAGCAAGTGGGGAAATTACCTCGGCAGCGAGGTACTCGAGGACGGCGGCAAGGTAGACGGGAGCTTCAGCACCAACGCGCTCAGCGTACTTGCCGGTCTTCCAGAAGCGAGCGAAGCGGCTGACGGGGAACTGCAGTCCGGCTTTGGTGCTCCTGGTGGTGCTCTTCTTGTCCTTGATGGAGCCAACCGCTTTTCCTCTTCCGGCCATCGGAGAAGTTGAGATGGGAATCCGAGAATTTGGAAGTTTGGATGCGATTCGGTCTCCCAAAACCCTACGATTTCACCTCGCACACAGAAAACCTCCGCCCGATGGAGGAAAGGAGAGCTGGAAATTAAGCAGAGAAGGAGTGATTCGGTCTTCATCAATTTTTTGTTTTATTTTTAATGGTTAGAAATGAGATGGAAAATTTTAAAAATTAAATTTTATTATTTTTATTATTTTTAAATTGACATGTCATACATTTAACGGTCAACTTTTAGAGTTGACTGCCACATAAGCAAAAGTTAACGGAGTTGGACGGAGAGTGACCAAACGTGAACAGTTTCAGTAAACTGAAGTACCATCAATGGATTTAAATATTTCGAGTGACCAAATTTGAACGATTTTTGTAATCTCAGTGACCAACCATATAATTAACCCAAAAAAGTTAAGTGTTTTTTAAGAGAAAAAAAAGTTAAGTGTTGAGAAAGAATAAAAGGTTCTACTTATAAAGCTCGAAAAAAAAAACGTTAGAAAAATGAGTGTCAAAAGCTTATAACACCCATAGAAATAATATGATTTAATTTATTTTATTACGAAGCCATCAAACAATGGCAAGTTGTCGAACCATCAATAAAAAGACACTGTTTCGCATAATGTACCTACGAAGAGGGCTCAAGATAGGGTGAATAACCTTAGGGTGAGTAACAATGAGTAATCAAATCTGGACCTTTCTTTTAAGTGACTGCAGATCTAAGGGTGGAGAATTAAATAAATTTATTTTCCCTAGTTTTCTTAATTGGATCATATCTTCTTCATTCTAACTTGGATTTCAATTTTTTTACACAGATGGAACGAATTCGTTGTGCTCTACAAAATGATATCCCTTTTCAATATTTTTTGAGAAAAAAAATATCGTCTCTCTCGTTACCAACTCCATACCATATGGTATATCTTTCGTTGTTTAGTCATTTTCGGAAATTTTTGCACAAAAGGAACGATTTAATCATGATCTATTGGATTTCAAAATTTTCCGGGGGAAAAAATTTCAAACCTCTCGTTACCAACTCCATACCATACTATACCACCCTGGTATGAGGTGGTATTTTTCATATCATATGCTATGCTGTTATTTAATACCATATGATATTGACTGGTATTAAATAACAACATATGGTATTGACTGGTATTTTTCATACCATATGGTATGTTGTTATTTAATACCAGTCAATACCATATGGTATAGAATGGTAATAACTGGCAGATTTTTTGTTCCAAAAAATATCAAAGTGGATATCATTTTGAAGAGCACAATTAATCTGATCTAACTGTGCAAAAAAAATTAAATGTCGAGTTAAAACGAGTGAGAAATTGTCCGTTAAAGATTAAGAGAAAGAAAATTAATGATTTTCCAGGAGAGAGAAGGAGGCGCTGATGTGGCAGATTCTTATTGAGTTATGCATGGGGTTACTCACCACAAGGTTACTCACCGGATCTGCTCCCTACGAAAAGCATAGACATCATCTAATGGCATTTATACTATATCCCCGACCATATAATGATCGAAGATGAAATCACGATAGTTCCAATTTTATTGGATGTCCCGAAAGGACGAAAACATAATAGTTCAAAGCCAAAGCTTAATGAATATTTTAGGATTAATATATTCATATAGTCTGAACGCTTCACAAATTAAACATCGTGGTCAATCTTTTTGATCTACAACATCATGACCTCATCTATGCATCAAAGTTACGAAATTGGCCAAACCCACGCCACGTCACTGCCAAGTCAGCACATACCACTTAATATTTTTTTGGGTTTTTCCACCTATTATCATTTATCTTTTTCAAAATAAAAACGGGTGTTCCTTTTTCTTTTCTTATTTTGCTCAAAATAAGAAAGATAAATGGTAATAGGTTGAAAAAATCAAAATTTTCAAGTGGTATGTGTTGATTTGGTAGTGACGTGGCGCGTTGGCCGTTAGTCAACAAGTTTGACCATCCAAGATAACAGTCAAATCTTGGGTTTGATCAATTTCGTAAATTTTTTGCATAGTCATTGGCGGAGCCAAATTGTTGGTTGTGGGGTCAATGGAACCCACTTGGAAGGTAAAGTCACGTAAAAAAATGTAAAGTTTTCAAGGGTGGAGAAGGGGAATTGAACTTTGGATCCCATGTTTCAAACTCAAAACCATTTTTTTTTTTAGGAAGGCAGACGCAAAGGCGCCTCAAATCATATATTAATAAGAGCATCCACATCAATGGTATTTGTTCGATTGCAAATTCTATGTGGCACTCAATTTGCAATTGCAAAATGGATTGCACTAATGTAGTGGCCACTTGCAAAGATGCAAGCTTGCATTAAATGAAATTGAAGATGCAAGCCACATAAAAAAAATAGAAAAAATGTATCTTTCTCTTGATTTTTTTTATTATTATAAAATCACTTAAACCCTCATATATGCAATTTCAAGTGAATTGCATTGATATGTAGGTGCAATGATATAAACTGAGTTGAATTGCATAAAATTTAAAAAAATCATAAAACACCATATGCAATTGGATTCGCAATTGCATGGATGGAGATGCTCTAAGTCGAGGTTGGACCCATTACATCATAATCAAGCTATCTACAGAGGTCGAAACTACACACATCAACATGATGTGTACCAAAAGTGAGACTATGGCCTAAACTAGCCAGAAAGTCAGCAGTTCGATTTCCTTCCCTATACATGTGTGAGACAGAGACATCCCAATCACGATCCAAAAGGTAGTTAACATGTTTAGCCAGTATGCCATGTCGATGATCATCATCAGAACGGTCTCTAATGATAGCAATAGCAGTGGTTGAGTCCATCTTAAGCTGCACTTTTCGATAACCTTTCTCCCAAGCCAACTGCAAACCAACAATATCACCTTTGAGCTCGGCACCAGTAATCGAGCATTTTCCCAGATTACAGGCGAAGGCAGCACAACATCTACCCAGATTGTCACGAATGAGACCTCCATCAGCTGCAAATTCGGAGGGAGAAAGGACAGAGCCATCAGAATGAACCATTGAACTTGTACCCATCCCTCAAGTGGAGGTCGCGAGGCGCCAGCCAATCTGCTCCTCTCTTTTCTCAGCAGGGGGTCTAAAGCTTCTCTCCACTTATGCAGTGCCATTTTATAGATCTTGAACCATGCCTCAATTCTGCAGATGAGGGATTTTTCCACATACACCTTCCCATCCATGCACTATTCATTCCTTTGTTCCATAGGTGCCACACGATCATACCAAAATCAATCCCATGAATTTCATCACTCATGTTGCTTGACAACCACTCCTTAAAGGGAAGGTCCCTTTCTTTGTTGGTGACTTTGGACCTGAACTTTTCCCAGATAGCTGTTGTTTTGCTGCAGTTCCGCATGATGTGTTCCGTTGTTTCTTCCACATTATTACAGTGGCTGCAATCGCCATCAGTAGTCATCTTCCTCTTAACTCGTTCCTTGTTAGTGAGCAACCTATCATGCATCACAAGCCAGAGGAAGTGTTTTGTACGACATGGCCCTTTCCACTTCCAGAGGTTCTTCCACATTGTCATTCCTTCTTTGTCCATTTGGTCAGCTGCAAGGTTGTAGGATGACTTCAGCCTGAATCTTCCATCCCTTTCCAGTCCCCAGATGCATTGTCCTCTCCTAGGGTGCTTTTAGGAGGTTCCATATCAACGATCAGAGAGATAATATTGGAGGGAAGGCATTCATGGAGCTTCTGCCAGCTCCACTCTTCATTCTCATCAGTCCACTCCGCCACATAAGAGTCCTCATGGTGCAAGTCAGCAGTCTGCAGGATGTGGTCTTTGAGAATGTCATGGTCTAGCCACCAGTGGTTCCAAAAACAGGTGGTCCTTCCATTTATGATACTCCAACAGGTGGCACTCTTCATGAGAGGCAGTGCCTTCACAATGACTTTCCATAGCGAGGAATGGTTGCTTCTTTTCATTGCCACAATCTTCCCATCAACATGTTTGAAGTACTTTCCTTGCATCACCTGCACCCAAAGGTCAGACCCATTATTAAGAATTTTTCATGCCAGCTTGATCATGAAAGTCATATTCAAACTCCTAGTAGTTCTTAATCCTAGTCCCCTTGGTTTTTAGGTTTACAAACTTTTTCCCTGGACACCATGTGAACTTTCTTTTTATCCTCATTAAAGCCCCAAACAAACCATCTAATCTTTCTTTCAATCAAATCACACACAGAAGCATAAAGTAGGGTGGTTTGCTTGGCAGAAGATGAGATGACATTAAGCACAGACAGAGCAAGGGCCGCTCTTCTAGCTAAGGAAAGAAACTCAACACCATTACCATTAAGGCATGAGTTTTATTTAATTAATAGTTGGACCCACGGTACTAATGTTCTCGCTACGCTAATGTGCATAGTTGAGGCCACGATATTATAGATAAAAAAATTGACTAACATATTTAATTTGTGAAAATTTTGGTCATACAAATATATTAACCCAATATCTTATACGGTAAAAAACTTTAAAAAACAATATCTTGATGATTTCTTTCTAAGACACCGACCATTTTACTTTTGAGGTTGAGAATTGTTATCGTTTGACATAGTCGACTCGATGGGTACCTTTGCTTATTTGGATCGAAGTAAATGCTTGAATGAAAAATAAAGATAATACTTTATTTTAGACTATGGAAAAAATATGACCTCATTTTCTAAAAGTCAATGTCGTCTCACGTGAGACCCTTTTGGCCCTTTCACAACGAACAAACATGTTGAGAATGATATGAAACTATGCTGTTAAAACAAAGATAAAAATGAAGAGTTAAACAAAATACTCTAACTTTTTGATTTTACAAAATAAGAATAATTTGTTTCAATGAAAATTAAATAGCTAAACTGTTTATGAAGTTGTATAATTATAATCACTAGAGCAATATATCTTTCTAGCCATACACCATTCCATATATCATTAATTTGTTATTAAATATCTAAACTTTTCATCTCTTAGAAAGAAATGAACAAAAATCTATTTGAGACGTCTTAAAAAAAGAAGTAAGCGATTAGAGCAATAATGTATATTGCTAGCCATGCACCATATGATATTATAAGTGACTTGACAAGAATATGTTTAACTCTATTCTTATGGAGCTTGACTCATCCTTAGTGAACACATCAAAATTTTTTTTTTATAAGGTGATGA